AAAAAAAAAAAAAAAAAAAAACAAGAAAATTCTTTTTCTTGGAAATTTATTTCTGGGGGAATCCAGGGCTACAGGAGCTGTGTAGACCTGCTGCTTACCACTTTGTCCCCACAGCCCAGCCATTCCAGGGACTGTTGCAGATCTGTCCACCAGAACCCTGGCGGATGATGGGGATGCTATGGAAGTCTGCTCTGAACCCATAACACTGCCCCCAGCACCAGTGGGTGAGAGACGGACCTACAGTCACAGGTTAGTGTAGACATCTTACTAAAACAATGTGTGTTCTGACCCTGGGCCCACAGTCTTTTTAAAAAAAAAAAGTAAAATGGGATTAGAACGTTAATGTCTGTGGAGTTGAAAGCCTGAAGAGTCCAGTTTCCTTGGCATTCTGCATTGTGGACTCTGAAGCCCAGAAATGGAAGCACTACTTCTTTGCCATTATCTAGGCTGGGCAAAAAGAACCTTCACTGGCAGTTGGCTCAGTCTCAGACTGTCTTTCTAATATTGGGTTAAAATGGACTGCAAGTCCATGTTTTGGGAAAATAGCCAAAGAATGTAAACTGGCAGTCTGAATAAATATGCATGCCTTCAGGTGCCTTCTCATGGCTGCCCAGACTGTGGCCAGTGCATGGCCTTGGATGCTAGGAGTTTAGGTTTTAATGAACAGTGGGTAACAGGAAGTTGTACAGCAGAAGCTTGGCAGGAGCAGGCTCTCCTGGTTGAGTTCCCCCAAGAGAGTGCACACTGGTACCTGGGAGAATCTCCTATAGGAAGCAGGTCTGAGATAGTGGGTCCAGAATGCCATTTCTTCCTGAATGTTCTACAGAGCAAAGAGAAAGGGAACATTCCAGAATAAAAAGTAAACACATAAAGGCTGCTATTATAGTTGGGTTGCTTGTTGGTAAACAATACCTTTTTTGAAATACCATTTAATATGAACTTTTTTTTCAATTCCAGAATACCTTCCACCATCTGTTTTGGCCAGGGTGCATTGAGAGGGTTTAAAAGCACCAAGAAAAGAAACAAACACCACTGATGGGAAGAATGAACCAAGAATCTGAGCAGACTCGGCCAGGAAAAAAAAAAAAGGTCTCCAAGGTCTCCTGCAGATGTGTCTGTTAAGGCCTTTCCCTCATTTTTGATGCTGTTGCCCTGGGATTGGACCTTTGTTGCCCTCCATATCTTGGTCCCTCCACGACCAACTCAGCAGCTATTATCAGAGGCAGTAAGAGAGCTGCAGAAATGACTGGGAAGCCCTGCAGAGAGTGAGATGGGGAGATTACCTACCTCCCTCTGCGAGGACTACCCTAAGAATGTCCTTTTTAAAAACAATAAAATATTTTTCACTCATGGTCTTTAGTTTCTCTGTTGCTGAACTTGATGGACTCATGAGCAATTATCAGCCAGAATTATTTTGTATCATTGTTTGATTCTCACAGAAATTATAAAGTCTTAGAGCCTCATAGAGTCAAACAAGTGTGACTGTCGCTAGTCCTTAACCTTTGTGACTTTGAGAGAGACCAGATCATTCTGTGTCACACCAGCCAGTGAACCTCCTTGGGACATGGTGCCAGGACAGAAAGGAGTGTAGAAGGAAATCTCCTGAGAGGGCAATAGGTAAATGTTACAGGGAGGACAGGGACAGTGACAGCAGTGGTTGTGTGGATGTCAAAAAAGCGTGTGACTTGAGTGGATTGCATAATAGCCAAAAGCAAATCAGGAGGCTGGGCATGGTGGCACACATCTGTAATCCTAGCACTTGGGAGGCTGAGGCAGGAGGATCTCTGAATTCGAGACCAGCCTGGACTACATAGTCAGTTCCAGGTCAATCTCAACTACGTAGTGAGACCCTGTCTCAAAAATACAAACAAAAGGAAGTCAGGCAGGTATGCAGAACGTGGAGATACATACACAGCAAGAAGTGTGTACTGGAGAAAGTAAGCTGCCTTAATAAAGTCAGGTCCCTGGGCCAGGCCTAGTAGAGGCTCTGTCCTTACCATGCAGCTGTACCCTTCTGTGCTGAGATGTTGGCCAGCCAGTCCCTCCCTTCTTTATCTCGCAGCTTATGCTTGGGCTAGGGATCTGGCTGAAGACCACTGATGGTCCCCTTTCAGTGTAGCTGAATCTGGAGGATGGCCACAAAGTGACCAAAAAATGTAGCCACCAGTGCTTCAGGTACTGAAAACTCAAGTACAGAGTGCTCAGGAAAAACCCTGAAGTCTGAAGTATAGGTCCTGTTGTTTGGATGGAGACCCCAAGGGTACACTGTTCTGGGATGGGAAATGAACTCCCACTGGGTGGGTGTGGCTTCTTGAGAAACCAGAAATCATTAAGAAAAAAGGCAAACATAAGTACCATTCTGTCCATCTTTCTTCAGGAGACTTCATAGGGGGAGGGGGTCCATTCCTCTGACTCCTCCTTGTCCTCCTCGTACAGTCAAAATAGTGCAGCCCCAACCCCAGCTCTCAGCATGTTGAATGATTGTGTCAACCTGAGAAGTTTGGTTAAGGGAAGCTTACGTAAATCAACTCGGCAATTCCACACCCTAGGGTGTGGGAGATCCACCACAGGGCCACTAGTGGCCTGGATGTTATAAAGGGGAAATGAAGGATGCAACTGCTTCTGTCCCTTTGGAGGAGCTTCCGTCTTCACCTTGGGCCTCGGATGCCATCTCCTGCCTTGCAGCGCAGACTCTTCAGCTTCCATTGTGGATCCTCAAGAAGGACAAGCATGAGACATTGCCATGGGCTCTAGCCTGGCTGGACTCCTAGAGGATATTGCCTTGGACTTTATGCCTTCAGCTGGACTTCTGCAGGACATTGCTATGGAATCTGGGCCCTTGACTGGATTCTTTCCATCTCTAGTGTGCGGTTAGATCTCCTGCACTTCTCTGCATTTGACTCTTTGGGTGACTACTTATAAAATAATCCCATAAATGATGTATCCTGTATTAAATCTGTCCCCTTGCAAAATCTGACTACAACAAAACTGGTACCAGCAGTGGGGCCATTGCTGTGATGTTGCCTGGCTATGGCTTAAGCTTAACAGCTTTGGGAATCACTTTGGAAAGGCCTTTTTTTTTTTTTTCTTTTTTGAGACAGGGTTTCACTATGTAGTAGAGACTGCCCTGGAACTCCCTGTGTAGCCCAGGCTGGTCTCAAACTCACAGTGATCCTCCTGCCTCAGACTCCCGAGTGCTGGGATTACAGGTGTGAGCAACCATGCCTGGCTTGGAAAGGTTTTGAGAGATGGACCAAAGAGGAAACCTTGGTACACTCTAATGTGGGAGACTGGTCAGAGCCTGGAAAATCAGAGTACTGTGGAAATCCTGCCAGTTAGGTTGAGGCTCAGGAGGCTATGCTGAGGAGCACATTGACTTCTGGATTATGTTGTGCTTTGGCAGGAAGTTGGTTTGCATTCTGCTTGTGTTTACAGACATTGCCTAGGTGGCAGAAAAATTTTAGTGCAGTATAGTGTCGGGATGGCGACATGGTTACTCTTGGGGACATTTCACCAGCTATCTGTTGGAAATTAAGAGAGGAGAGGCAGCAGGGTGATGTGAAGCATTTGGAGAGAGGGGAGGCTGGAGCTGTGGATTGAAACAGGAGGACATGGTTGTTGAGAAAGAAAGGATGATGGAAAAGTTTCCTGAGACCTTTCACCAGAAGGGAAGAGTGTATCTGGAATGCAGGTGATCTCTTGGGATTTCTTTTAGTGTTGCTGCACCTGTTGTCAGTTAATGGGAAGCAAGGATTGTGATTTTCATAGCTCTCTCCTGTTACAATTTTGATGTAGTAATATGATGTTTTTTGTTTTGTTTTGTTGTGTTGTGTGGTACTGGGGAATGAACTCAGGACCTTGAATTTGTGAGGCAGGTGAGGCACCACTGAGCTAAATCCCTGGCCCTAGCAATATAATGTTGATGGATATAAGACTTGTTTTTTTTTTTTGTTTTGTTTTGTTTTTTTTTTTTTTGAGACAGGTTCTCACTATGTAGCCCAGGCTGGCCTTGAACTCATAGTGATCCTCCCGCCTCAGCTTCCCACATGCTGGGATTATAGGCTTGTGCCACCATGCCTGGCTAAGACTGGTTTTTAAGTGTTGTTAAATCTCATACATAAATGGAAACCAAAAGAGTTTTAAAATCTGAAGCCATAATGTGGAAATGAGTACAATAAGAATTCATATATGTAATTATTAATGTAAATCTGAAGAGATCAAGATATGTTAACTTTTCACAAATCTGCCACTGGAGACTGTGATTCAAGGAAATGTGTCCGGTTATCAAATTAACCAGGGGTGGCTTGTAGGGGATTAACTAATGGTCAACCTGGAGCACCCAACTCAACTAAATCAGCATGGTTTGGGCTTGGAAGTCCCACTTGAGGATTGTTGCCAATGGCATAAAAAGAGCTGGAGGGCCAGATTGTTGGCTGTTGATTTTCTTGGAGAAGCTTGCTGCAGGTAGTTTTCCTGATGCAAACTTGCCTAAAGGATCTGCACAGGAGCCAAAGAGTCTGCACTACAAGGCAGGAAATGATAAAGAGTCTGCGCTGCAAGGCAGGAGATGATGTCCAAGGCTCAAGGTGAAGACAGAAGTTCTTCCAAAGGCACAGAAGCAGCTGCATCTTTCCTCATGTCCCCTTTATAACATCCAGGCAAGGAGATGCCCTGGGGTGGATCTCACGCCCTAGAGCGAGGAATTGCTGAGAGGATTTAGGTAAGCTTCTCTTAACCAAACTTCTCAAACTGATGCAATCACTGAACCATCGCATCTGTTAGCTCTTTTCATAGAAGCAGGGTTTGCCAGACTTCGATTGTCAGCAGTATTGGTACCCACAAGCACTGTGCTGTAGTCTTTGGGAATTATCCATCCTGGGATCTTATGTTGGTAAGCTTTTCCATTGCTGAGGCACGGTACTCAACACCCAGAATTGAAAGGAGGAAAGGTTTATTTTGGCTTATGGTTTCAGTGGGTTCAGTCCATATTTAGCAGGTGCCAAAGCAGAAATAGAAGGTGAAGGGGCATGGTAGAGGCAACTGCTCACCTACAGCAGCCAGGAAGCAGAGTGAGAGGAGCTGGGGACATCACATCACACCGCCATTGACACACCTATAACCAACCAGGACCTACCTCCTAACAGCACATTCAGCTATAAACTCATCAGTGGATTAATCTCTTGATGGGTATAGCATCCCCACAATCCAAAAACCTTCCAAAAACCCCCTCTGGACAGCTGACACCATTGAGAGACATTTTAGATCTAAACTAAAACAATCCAAGCCTATCTTCTTCTGTACCTAGAAAACTCTGTGTTATTTGTCTGCTTTTCTCCTGACAAGGAATGTGAAACTTTCATGAATGTTGCTGAAGCTGGTGTGATGGTGCAGACCTAGAGAACCGGCACTCAGGAAGCTGAGATAGGAGGATAACAAACAGAAAGTCACCCTAAGCTAGATAGTGAAACCCTATCTCAAAAAGAAAAAGCACTGCTGATGAAGAAGGAATTCAGCATCATAATTATTTGCCATGGGATGTTTTGTTCTCTGGGAAAGGCTCACATCTCTGCTGTAGAAGATGATATGAGTTCTAAGTCGCAGGTGTTGGTCAGAAGCATTTCTTAAGGGAATTCAGCTTTCAGACTGTTGCAGTGGTCACTGCTTCTCTTCAAGGTTCATGTTGGAGTGATTGGGTTGTTGTACCTGGAGTTTCCCACACTCTGGTTTTGCTGCCTGCATTCCTGGCTGTCAGTTAATGTGCCGTCCATCTGGAAGGGAGACCAGCTTGCTGTACCTCTGAGCTGTACCCTGGTATGCTCACAGTGCAACCTGACAGCGCCTCCAATCAACTGCCACCTAAGGATAACAAGAAGAAAGATGCCAGCAAGTTAATCAAGAAAGACAGTAAACCAAGTGGACAAATCTGGGAGCAAAGCCAAAAAGAAGTCCAAAGGCAAAGTTCAGGACAAGCTCAATAACCTGTTCTTACTTGATAAAGGTATTTATGACACACTCTTACTTTCCTTGGTGGGCCGGGGATTTAGCTCAGTGGCACTGTACTTGCCTCAAAAGCACAATGTCCTGAGTTCAATCCCTGGTACGGCAAAACACAAGTCCCTTGGTATGAACTTATAATCTTTTAGGAGTTCTTAGCAAAGGACTTGTCAAGCTGGTTTCAAAGCACAGAGTTCATTACTTATAACAGAAATACCAAGGGTGATACCCCAGCTGCTGGTGAAGATGCATGAACAGGTTCAACAAGCCATTCATTTGGAAAAATAAAACAATTATTAAAAAATAAAATGAAGTTCTGGGTATGGGTTTAGGTTTCTTTTCTTTTTGTCCATCAAGGCAGTGGATGTTTTAGCTGCAAAACACACATGAGGGCCAGCCCGTGGCTACAAATGCCCAAGAGGCATTTTTTTCCCTGTATTTAGCACCATGGCAATTTTTCTTTTAGCATCCAGGGCAAAGATGACGACAAGAATTTTGTCCACTAAAGTTAAAAATTAAAGTCATTTTTTTCCATAAATGCTCCTTTTGGTCACTTTTAGTCAACTCTTAGCAAAGTCTACATCTGAATGATAGAAACATACCTCCCCACACAACAAACATGAGACCATTTCTTGCACTTTCACTTGACAGAAGCCCCATGGCTGAAAATGTCTCTGTGTCAAGGCTGTGGGAGCAGGCACCCTCATACCTCGTCAGTGAGGTGCCACTGGGGATCCCCTAGGTGGAATAATTTAGCAATAGTTAGTGGTATTACTTCTGCGTTGCCCTCTCACTGAGCAGTCCTATGCCAGGGACCTCTGGAATACATCTTGGCAAAAAATTCAAAGGAGTTGCTCATAAGGTTTATTGGAGTACATTTTTTAATAGCTGAAGACTGAAGACAATTCAAGTGTCTTCCTGATCAATATTGAATAACCTGCTCAGTATTAAAAACTGGAATTTTTGCATGGAAAGAAAACATAGGTTTAAGATGGACAAAGTTAATAAAATCTCTGTGGTCTTGAATCTGGACAGGAAGGATTACTATGAATTCGTATGATATGCTGCATACTTGTTAAATTGGAGGCCCTGTTGAAGAATCATTTTTCAGAAATCAATGATGTTATTAAGGAATGCTAGTGTTTGTATTAAGAGGTGGGACAGCTTCAGCATTGTTAAGAACAATAATTACAATTGATTGAAACACTTCAAATTAGTTAAATCCATGAGCTCAATGATTCTGTAAGAGCCTGACTGAACCAGAGCGATTCCATGTTGACCAGCAAATGACCTAGAGACTGTCGCTCCCCCCCATCCCTTACAGGATAACTAATGATTAATTGTGAATTGTTAGGTAACTGCTTTGAAGTAGCTGGGAAACTAAATGGAAACTGTAGTGAACACAGAGACCCAACACAAATCACGCCACTCCTTATTTGCCTGTAGTTGAATGTTCTGAACATTATAATCTAAGTTGTAAATGGAATAATGGATAATCGATCTGCTGATCATTAGTACGTGACGGTCAAGTATATGCTTGATGACCACTAGCTCAGATCAACTGATTCTTTGCCTTTGTCCTCTTCCTGTAAGTTTTAAGTGTAAACCCCCGCTTAGCCCTATATAAAATGGCCTCTGTTTCTGAGCTAGCCGCCTCTCTGAGCTACTTGGCTTGGGGAGTGCCGTCTGGCCAGACTAATAAAGGTCTATTTGCCAACTTGCCTGGTGTGTTCCTTCCTGGGTGTCTCTCGCTGTCTGACAAGCTCCTGGAGCCTCGCTGAGCTTCTGAGCCCAGCATCGTGGAAGCCTCTTGGCTGTTCATGCTCCAGGAGTAAAAGTGAGACTTAAGTCTTACAATTCATTAAAAACAAACATTTTAGGAAGTTAGGCCAGGCCCCGATCCACCCCGGGAAGGAGAACCACGCCTGCTCCCGACCCAGCAGCCATCGCTCAAGCACCGGGAAGGTAGCCGCATGGGCACCCCTGAACCCCGATAATCCCCCCGCCCCCCCTACACTCTCAGATCTCCTGACTGTGCAAGTCTTTGGACCCACTCTGCAAAGACAGAGGTGGTCACCAAGGGTATTTTTCTGAGTTCCCAACTTTGAACATCTTTAAAGAAAGGGTGTGGGAAACCTGTAATAGAACATTGTGGAGTTCAACCATTCAGAAGGATGGGGAACTCAATCTGGGCCTTGCAGCCCGAGGTCAGTCAGAGTCATGGGGTTCAGCAATCAGCTAACTGAGATCAGGGGTCTTGCATCCTCGATCTGTCTGAGCCATTAAATGGTAAATATACTATATTGAAAAGTTTATTCACTGCAGACATGTTCTGGACTGCTTCTTGATTTCATTTTAATTCAAATGATTTAAGGGTGATAGACTAGTGACTACCACAGGTGGTCAGTGTTCAAGTTGTGCTTGATCCTAATGTGTTGCTGATTGTATCAGTTGGGGTAAAGCACTCCCGTTGATTTGATGAGCTGTTTTCCCTGATGTTATGAAGATGAGAATGTCTGTGGGTCGTTAAAGACACAGAAGCT